GAGGAGCCCATTGAACACTATAAAGGATATTATAAGGTATTATAATGCATTGAAAAAGGTGCTATATTGCAACAATGCATTGATCAATGTGTTTGATGTCAAATTACATCATTATGCTATTATTGTGTACAGGTGAGAGAGTCTGGCATTTTCCCATGGGATGAGAATAAATACGTTTACAATAATAAAGAAAGATTTGGTAATAGGAGAATCACCGAATCAGTGAGTTTGATCAGAACCTGCATGGTCTTGTGTATATATGTTAAGATCATTTTGATTTTTCACTTTAATCTCAGGTAGCCCAGTCTGTTCTGTTACTCTATAGAAAAGAGTTTAGCAAGTTTTATACAAAGTAAAACTAGATTTTATCAGTTCCTTTATTTCTCTTCCTCTGCTGATAGTCGTAAGGTGAAAGGCATCCATTATTTAGTAGAAACTAAGGATCAGTCTTACGGATCTCGATTTCTTTTAGAAATGGTGAGAGAGACACTCACGTACATGACAGTCATGTGATTGATCTTTATTGATAATTGTAGGATATTCAATTAGAGAATGGTGGTAAGTCTGCACTTATATGTCTTCAAGAGCTCCTGTGTACTTAGTGCTATTAGCATTAAACACTTTCAATATTTTTACACAAACTGTCTCTGTTTATTTACATGTAGATACAATGCAAACATCAGAATATGTTTATCTACCAAATAAGAAACGAGGAAGACTCTGCCACACTCTAAACTTTCAATGGAAGAGAAACATCAATGTTTACATTGTAGTATCAGGTAAGTAAACTTACTACAGAGGCTGAATAGTGAATAAGAGAAGTATATAGTCGGTGAAAAGTAAATAAATGACTTGAATTGATATTTTGGTTTTTAGTAAAGGATCTTGGTGAATGGATCAAGCATCTCATTCACAATATGGTGGACGTATGCTTCTACACTGCACAACTGTGGCATATCTTTCTTTTTTTAGATTTATCATGCTACAAATGACAAGCATTTCCAATTGGTTATTGTTGATTATAGTAGCGACGACATTGATATTACCAAAGAATTGCTAGAAAGCTCTTTGCCACAGTAAAATATATTATAATGATAAAAGAAACTGATTTTCTCTCAGTTGGAAGGTTATTTCTCTGGAAGGTCCTTTCTCAAGAAGTGCTGGACTACAAGCAGGAGTTGACTATGCTTCAGTAAGAGAGCTATAATGCATTAAGATAGCTATAATTGTATCTTAATAATTGGGGGCAATTTTGGAGCCATTTTTCCAAAAAAGCATGGGCAGGGATTTTTTTCAAAAATTGGACTATTTTGTAAAATGGCCATAATTCAAGTCAGATTTAGTTCAAACTTTCTACACAGCATAAGGTTATCAAAAATTAGTGTATTATTTCTATTTAGGATAACAACAGCATTGTGATGACAATAGACATGCATTTGACTCTACCACTTGATTTCATTGACAGTGTCAGAAAGGTGCATCCATCAGTATCTGTTAAAGTTTAAACTCTTTATATAATAGCATACTATTGAAGGGAAGATGGCGTATGCACCAATGTTCTTCAAACTAAGTGAAGGATTCTCTGAGAATAATGTAGATGGTACGTCTTCATAGCTATTTTTATGCTTTAAAAATTAAACTGATTATCAAGACCAATACACACTAGACAGTTACTATAAGACCTTGAGCAAATGGAAATCCTTTACTTTTTGCATGCTTAGCGTGACTATCAGTTATAGACCTATGTACAATGACCTTCATAAAAATAATGTTATGAAAGTCTTGATTCATTATTTAGGATACTGGCAGATTGGGACATTCGGCTTGTTTGGGATGTTTAAAAGTGATTGGGAGAGAGTGGGCGGGTTTGATGTCATCAACTACAAGTACAGGTGGGGAGGAGAAGACTGGGACCTACTCGACAGGTAATACCAAACCACGTAAAGTAATTATTAATTTGTTCCTTTAAATAGAGTCGTATCTATAGGTATCGAAGTGTTTAGAGTCAGACCTCCAGGTCTCTTTCACTATTATCACACCAGAGCAGGAATGTGGGGTTTCCATGGCAATAAACTTAGTTGCTAGGTAGCAGCAATATGTTGCTAAGGAATGAAAATGATTGACAGAATTTTGATTCAGTATAATGATCTGATGTGATGTCTGAACTGTTTATAAAGGATAATAAAATGTGGTATATTAGTATTATTATTTTAAATAATACCGGAAATAAAAATGGGAACAATGATGATAATAATAATAGTGGGAAAATAATTTAATTGATAAGCACAAAAATAACGAGTGAGAGATTTTGTAATGAATGGTGAAAAATATGAAATATAAATAACAATCAAATTGTTACGAAATTTACTACTTTCGCTTCAACTTCCTCGAACTTTTCTCGTCTGAAGATGATGAAGAGTTTGACTCATTCTCTCTACTTTTGATCTTCTTGCGTGACCAAGGATCAAACCAATCATCACCACGATCAAAAACCTCCTTCGTCTTTTCTTTAATTCTCTTTCGATTCTTTAGCTTTGAGTCAGTACTATCGTCACTATGAAAAAAAGAGTCACAAAATAAGGTAATTTTTTTAAAATTAAAAAAGGTCAAATGTTAGTCTTACTTTTCTGAGTCGTTGGAACTTGGAGTGTATTGTCTTTCCTAGTGGAAAAAAACAATAAAAGCTACATTGTAATCCAAATAAAAAGAAACTTTAAAAATTCATAAAAAATCCAATTTTGATCAGAATCAGCTCAAACTTGCTACACAACATAAGAACATGTATATGTATCAGAAAACATTATAAAAATGAAAAATTCTCTCCCAGTCATTTTTGGCAAAATTTGGCCCGTGACCCTGTACTATAGTACAGGGACTTTGGCCCAATTTTTGAGTAACTTTGAAAATTCGTAAAAAATCCAATTTTGATCGGAATCAGCTCAAACTTGCTACACAACATAAAGATAATATGCTTATAAAATCTCTTTAATAGCTTTGAGTTCACATAAAAAATTCAAACCTGTTTCAACTTTCTCCTTAAATCATCAGTTCCTCTTTTTCTCCCTCTTCTCCTCCTCTCCTTCTCCTCCTCCTCCTCCTCCTCACTCTCCCATCCTTTGGTGATTGTCCTCAGTCTATGCCAACCGAGACTTTCCTCAACCTTCTCTCGACTGTTTGGACGTGGGAGACCTTTAGCCCTTCCTTTAACATGACTAGGAGGTGTGGCCTAGTAAATAAAAACTAAATAAAATTAATATTCACACAACTCTATACAAAATGAATCAAAGGCTGGCTTACCCACGCCATGTGACTATACATACTGCTAGGTATCACACGATCTAATAATAATAATTATTATTATAATGATATGCCATGTGACTATTAGGTCATGTGATATTACCATATAAGGCATGAATGCGATCAATAGATATTGGCTTGTGGGATACAGCATAAAGAGTGGGAGGGGCCAGAGAGAGATGAGGACTATTATGAAAAGCATCTAAAAATCACAAAAGGAAAATACATTCGTACAATACGTAGTTTAATAGAGTAGCAAAATACAATGATAATATTCATGAAATAATTTTAAAATCATCTGTAATGAAATGTAGTACTGGTTTACCTCTATCTCTTGTTCTTTCACTTCTTTCTCCTCCGATTTCTTCTCCTTCGGGAACCTCGTGAGCGAATCTACAGTCATCGCCCCACAAGCATCGACCTATACATGATTATGATCATCATTAGGATGCTTGAGGAACTTTTCTCATTATAAAAATGCAATAACACTCTCTCTCTTTCTCTAACCTTGAAGAAAATGTCTGCAGATGTTTGAATTGTGCGCCTGTAAAATAAATAAAATAGTAATAATAGCAAATGTAGCTGAATTATTTGTATGTTATTTTACATGCAGAAATTACACAAAGAAATTATTCAAAGCCACAGGCAGAATTGATACTCTAATAGCTTGAGATTATATTGGCTAGAGAGTCTTGAAAGGAAGCCAAAAATAATAAAATAACCACTTTCAATTAATAGGTAGCTAGTATATATTTTTCTGACCAAAAATATCTGCTGACTTTACGAATTTTGAATAGAATGCATGGTATACATTTACATTATCAAAATTTTGGGCTACAAACAATTTTTAAGGAATAACACATACACTGATTCTTAACCAGACCTGTTTGGTTCCAGCTTGTAAAGACTCGTCCGATAGCCTCTCAAATTTACGCCTAGGGGAACAAGAGTCACCAAAAGGAGGCGTGACCTCTTTGATCTCTCCGTCCTCATCAGAAGCAAGTTCCCCATCCTCTGAAAGGAGTCTGGAATGGGTGTGGCTGAAGGAACATCTTTTCTTTACCTCATTCTCCTCCCCCTCCTCCTCCTCTTCGTTGTAGTCCAAATCAGGCTCTAGTGGTGAAAGGAGAGATGATGGCTTCCCGTCTGGAGGAGGAGAGGCGGCCATGAGAGATGACAAGGAGGAGAAATCCTGAGATATGAAAGGGTAGAATCATCATCCATTTTAATATTTAAAATAGAAAGGTCAAAAGTCTTTATTCATAGGCTCTTTATAAAAATATTTACTATAGATATTACAGTATTTAACTCACTCTCTCTCTCTCACTCAACTCTCCTTTCAGCAAACAAAACCAAATTGTCACTAATAACTGACCAATCCTATCTTCCTCAGGCTTCCGGTCCTGCATTAACCAACCACACCTTTCATAATAATTATTATTAGCCAAACCTTAAATTTATTCATGATCATAGATGTGGTCTTTTTGCAGAATACCGGTAATAATAAAAATTTGTTTTAGTGAAAGTGAAAGTATTTTTTGTTTACAAGAGACAGCCATGTGATGATATGAATTGAAAAAATATTATACTATGCAAGAGATAATGAGCCACTCCTTCTAAATAGATTAATTATTTAATTTGCAGCTCAGCCCATCAGCTCTGCTGCGTACGTGCAGAATTAGAAAACCGATTCTTTCTCCTCCTCTTTTTAAAGCAGCAACCAATGGACGAGGTAAAGATAATCCTCTTAGGAGACGCTGGTGTGGGCAAGACGAGTCTCATCAACTGCTTCATTCACGAGGGAGACGGGCTGGGTAGCTCTGGCAAGCGGAGTGGATCCGGTGGCGGCGTGAGAAGCTCTCATTACGATCCAGACGTGAGAGTGAAAGAAGTGAAACTGAGCGATAGCAGATCAGTAAAGGTAGGCATAAGCCCTCTTTTGTATTAATACTGATGGCTTAGTGTGTGTGTTTGTGTGTGTAATGATTAATGCATGTACATTGCTTAATAATGTATAATAATATTAATGAACAATGGTACCATTATGATATTGTTGTGATAGAGACCCTCACCACTATAAAGGGCCCATACTTACACACAAACATCATTTCCTACACATTTTCTTTGCCTTACAAAGCTACACACACATATGGCATGTTTTGCAAATAATAAACTTGAAATGACTGTGCCAATGTACCATAGATGCATAGTTTGCAAAATAATGTCTTTCATTACATTTTACTTTAGTATAAATTGACTTGTTATGCTATAGCCTCTGATTGTCCATGTGACATTATACTCCTTAACCACAATGGGTTTAATGTCTAATATATTGAAATTGTTTATCAGTGAACTTATATCATGTTTTCCTGATATTAAATCATCAAGGAATACCAAAGTGCATGTTGAAATAGTCAATAATGGTCCAGCTGGCTCTGTTCGGCTATTTTGCACCTCCTTTATGCCAGAGGGCAACCATGGCATGCCAGACACAGTCACTAATTTGTTAAATACCTCAAGACACTTTCTGATCAGTCCATGGTCAGGTGTCTCATTTACTGATATTTAGTTTGTATCAGCCAGCAGATTACAAGACTAGCTATAATAGTACTATTGCTATTATCTTGCAGCATTAGGTAGCTAACTGTTTTATCACTAATAAGTCACTGTGTATCATGATTCATCTTCAGTTTTAATGTATAAAAGCAATTAATAACCTCCATCAGTTTTAATGTATAAAGTCTATCTCTACAATGACAATGGTGAGCTATTATTTATATTTCTCTTTTCCAGACGTACCTACATGACAGTCCTAGGAGAGAACACTCGTTCAATTCGCAAAGTGTAGCGCCTAATTTTTACCGCAATGCAGATGTAGTCATACTGGTATACGCAGTGGACGAGAACCCAACATTGGAGGCACTGCAGGACTGCTGGGTAACAGAATACGCCAGCTACCAAGACGTAACGAGTACCTCGTGGATAATCGTTGGTAACAAGAACGACCTCCCTCTTGACATAGATCAGAAGAACCTTGATCATCTGGTCCAGCGACTAGGAGGACCTAGTGAAGTTGTGACCCTATTTGCTTCGGCTAAAACTGGGAAAAATGTCAAAGAGGTGTTTGAGATTGCTGCAAAGAAAGGCCACGACAGAAGGAAAATGAAAGAAGGGACTTTGAATTTAGCCGATAGAAGAGCGATTAAACCTAAAAGTGGAGGAGCAGCTGCTGGTGGAGGTAGCTCAAGATCAGGTGGTGGGGGGTGCTGCTAAATGTAATTAAACTCTAAATAGATAGATGATAGAATTACTTATTATTATTATTGTTGTTGTTGTTATTATTAATCATTATTTGTTGAAATATGCTGCACACTATGTCCCTTGCTTGGTATAATATATGTTAAAATTGTCCCGTTACTAATTATTACTATTATTATTATTTATTTTAATTCAACAAAAATGCAAAAATTTAATTTATGCTTATGAACTGTTTGAGGACATTTCACTTAACAAAAACTGCAAAAGCATTTGTAAAAGCTATCAATAGTATCATCAGATAATACTCCAGTGATCTGTGTCACTTAATACAGTGCTATCAGGGCCAAAACAGCTACTACTGTTTCCTTGCCACCATAAAAGGTTTATAGCTACCCTCCCATTCACACGGAGGTTAACCAAGTTATCAAAACTGGCTGACATAATGAATGGATGTCAAATAGTTTTGTGTTTACTCCTTTCTCTGATGTAGTATTGTGATCATTATGATTTTTTACATCTAGTATTGTTCCAATGCAGTCACATTCAAAAAACTTTCAAATACGTTATTGGATTGCTACACAAGCCCTCAGTATATTAAATGGTATGGGTAGCACCTACTCTATTGTGAAACTGAAACAAGCTCTTTTATCTAATGTAAACATAGTCAAGCAAACAGATGAAAGCGTTGAAAAAAGACACTCATGCTACCACCATAACACGTAATATGTGCAGCTATGTCCATGTAGCTACAGTTAAAATACAGAAGATTTGGTTTCCCAATAGAAGGAAAATCAGGACATGTTTGTCATTTAATAATAATAATAATGATAATACAAACAATGTGTATCTTAACAACAAAAACAACAACAAAGCAGTAGCATATTTTCTGTCCATATTCCTCAGAGCGAAGGCTTCAAAGGTACAGTCGCTGCAAGAGCTCCCGGGAACTTCAAATGATACGTATTCTCTGGAACCAACTCGGCATGAATGACGTTACCTTTTAAAAAGAGGCATGTCAAACAATAACCACACCCACTAATTATCTCACCTGCATAGCGTCTACCATTAAAGGAGCCAACAGCGGCACTGGCAGTCTGTGGGGTCTGGGACTTTATGTAGACTTTGCCCTGGGAGAACTTGTCTACATGAATATGGAAGATGTTTCCAAACTTGACGCATTCCTCAAGCACGTCCTCGCGTATCTCTTTGTCCCAGTCAGAACCAGTCTCCCTGGAAATGAGACGAACAATGAGAGATGCACACGTACATGTACATGCATAGAAAATGATATTGGGAGCTACATGTATGTTAACGCCATTACTTTTTATATTGTAATGATATTATTTTAGTATACGTAAATATTAGAATAAATACGAAATGGCTTGTATCATTTTTTGGATTAAAATTAAAAAAACAAATTACAAAAAAACTAACTTTGAAGGATCGAACATGTTCCCTATCACAAAGCAGCAGGAGGTGATACAAGTAGGCATTGTTGGCACAGCAAAAGGAGGAGGAGGGACCTGAACACCAGGTATACTCATATCTAGGAAAGAAACACCGTCAGCATAAACCACGCCCCAACCACACCCACTATACGCTGTACCTGCATTATGACCAGCTGCTAGTTTGTGCATGAGAGCAACACGAGATTGAGGGGTCATCCCCACACCGACGTCCATGTCCTCCCCGTCCAGTGAATCAATGTTGACCAGGCTAGTGTCCACCGTCCCATAGTTCACTTTCATTGGACGACCTGCCAATTCAAATCCATTGAGGTTAGCCATCGCCCTCTCAGCCGAGTCGGAATCACGAAACTAAAGAAAATTAAATTAATGACAAAAGTGACATCAAACAGGTGAAATAGTACACATGAGCTACCCACAAGTCTTTAGTTGATGAAGTTGTGTTAAGAAATAGCTTTCAATTTCATTTTATGAGTGGAGCAAAAGGACACAAACCAGCCTCCCAACTGAAGGAGGTTGTGATTAGCATTCAGTTTAAGCGTAGTATTCATGAGCTCTAGTTTACCAAAGGGCTCAATGCCATACACTAAGTCAACAGCTCATTCAACTGTTACACCTTTACAAAAACAATTCTTTGTCACTCTTAGAAAAACAAAATGACTGCGATTCAATATAAAGGGCTATCCTCTGATTTAGTATGATAATATGTACATGTAGAAATAAAATAAAATAATAATACTTAGTTCAAGACTACAAGTATAATAAGATATAAGGTGTACCTCGACAAAAGCATATCCCCTGGACACATTGGTAGCAGTGTCCCTCATGATGCTGACCCTCTCCACGTTACCAAATGGGCTAAATATTCCTTGCAACATGTCCTCTGTTATATTGTAATGCAGGGAACCAACATAGAGCTTCTTAGGTCCCTCGGCTTTCTTTAGATTCTCTGCAGCAGCTGCTAGTCTGGAAAAGAAAAATAGATTCTTTAGATACTCATAACTCAAAAAATTCAAGTCGGAATCAGCTCAAACTTTCTACAGAGCATAAGGACATCAATATGTATTAGAAAATGTAATAAAAATTAGGGGTGATTTCGGAGCCATTTTTTTGATAAAACCATTATAGCCTTGGGTATTTTTCAAAAATTGGCCTCTTTTTAAAAATAGCCATAACTTCTTGTCAGTAAACTTTCTACACAGCACAAGTACATCAATATACACCGTAGCACATGTACAATGTATAGTTACCTGTTTTTCTCGGCCATAGTTGGTTGAATCATTATCGGTATCCCATGAACCTTTTGTCCACTGAAAGAAAGAGCCTAATTAATTAACAGTTATTAATTAAGGAGCTAATTAATGATGTGGGTGGGGCTTACAGTAAACACGCTGCTCTCTTCTTGAAACTCAACATACGCTATACCTTTAGATCGCCTGGACTGTCTGTCAGCAATTATGTGTACATCACGAACCTAAGGCAAAGAGGAAGTCCTCATAAATTAAAATACCATACATAAGGTACATGAATGTAATGTTCTAATTTTTTTGAGCAATCAGTCAAAAATAAGCGAATTTTTTACATAATTTTTGTGTGTAGTTGCATATAATTTTTCTGAGGTGGTGTGAAAGTAAAATCCTAAGGAATTTTTTAAGCATACATGTACATGTACATGTACTTACAACTCCGGCTCTCATGAAGAAGTCCTCAAGGTCTCTATTGGTTACTTTGGCCGACAGCTGCATACACATGATGGTCCTATTGTCCCTATCAACACTCGGAGGCTCTAGGTCAGGTGACCTCTGACGCTTGTAGCTACCTAAAATATATTTTAAAATGACGCGACACAAATTATGTTTTTTCATCATTAATTATGACCATCTCACTTCCTGTTTCATAATTCATTTTTAATAATTTTTAATTATCACCAGCTCCCTTCCTGTTTCATAATTAAGACTACACTAGTTCTTTACAATAACTGAATTACAGCACACAAGGAGACTTTCCCTCACCTATAGGTTGTGCAACTGAAGGAGGAGAGTTCCTATCCCTGTCTCTCTCCTTATCTCTGTCTCTCCCTTTGTCCCGATCCCTATCTCTATAATCTCTGTCTCTGTAATCCCGGTCTCTTGAGCGATGGCGCCTTCTGTCACGAGAGCGGGACCGAGACCTTGATCTGTGGCGATGACGACGATACTTGTGTCTGTCTCTGTCCCTAGAGCGGCTTCTGCTTCGCCTTGAGCTAACAACCAAATAAATAAATAAATAAGAATTTAATTTGCAAAGTATGTACCTTCGTCTTCGAGGAGAATGGGAGCGGCTTCGTGAGCGAGAGCGAGACCTACTACGTTTCTTTTTCTTACGTCTAACATAAAATAAGAGAGAGAGAAATAGAGTTAGCGTAAATAGTATAAATTAAATTAATAATATACTTCTTCCTGTCATCTTCATCACTAGGAGGAGGAGAGCCAGCCTCTTTCTCGCTTCTTTCGTCAGGAGATTTATCATTATTATTATTAGTAGTAGTAGCAGTGGCATTGGTATCAGAGTATAGAGCATTGGTGCTGTCCTGGGGATAGAAAATTCCAGAAAATGTGACGTTTTGAGTAAGAGAATACATGAAAAAGGAGAGAGATGAGAGAGAGAGAGAGGGGGGAATGTAAAAGAAAGGGATTGAACAAGAAGCAAGAGTAGAAGAAAAGAGAAAGAGAGAGAAAGTAGAAAGGATTATAACAGAAATCAAATCACCCTTTACAAAGGCTAATAATAATACTACCATTGAGAAATACAATTACTGAGTCTCCCCCAAATAAAAAAGAGCATACCACTTTTTAAAAGAGAGATCAGGACTGTAACGACCGTAGGATCTATATACTGTGTATAATAATGGTAATAATGTGTGTGGGTGGGAGTGTGTGTGTGTGCGTGATCATGTCATGAGGAGTGCTCCAATGTGTCGTAAACCCTAATATAGAACAAACCGTTACCATAAAACCCTCAATTGTACACACTAGTAGTAATAATAATGCACACACACACACACACACACAGAGGACAGTATTAATTAATTATATTAATTGAGGGGTGTGGCTAAGTTTAGCTCGATTATTTTACATAGTAATAGCTTATTTATTGCTTTAGCGTCAAAAGCTTACCACCTCCGGTACAGGAAGAGGCTGGACTTTGTTGTAGGTTTCCTCAAGGAGAGCTTCGACGTCGAAATCGTCAGCTTTATCAGCCGCCATTTTGATTTATATGGAATAACACCAGGAGCAGGGATTCGTGGGACAATAGAAGGACTTCAAAAGAAACCAAAATGTTAGAATGTTCGTAGCAGAGCACCTCCTTTCCTTTATAATCCTTCAAAGGATGAGATTGGAGATAGAGAATGAATTCAGAGCAACTTTAGAATCCTCACGTTGACGTTGCAAACGAAGATGTACGGATTTTTTGCACTGTTTTACGGAGAAACATTGATCTAGAGCTAGTCTACGGAAATGTAGAGGCAATCCGGATATTGGTGGTCACGAGATCCGGACATGTGACATCACATGGCTTGTCACGTGACCTTTATATAACATTACAACAATATGGCCGCAACTGCAAGACACGAGATGAAGAGATTTGCTTTCTCTTTGAGTCGAAATGGACTCCTTTGGAGACGAGCCCTCCATCACCAAACAGCTAATAGCCAGCAGACTCAAGTCACTGAAGATAAATCAACGCAAACTGAGAAGAGTAAAGAAAAATATATATTATTCTTGTTGTTTATATATATATATGTTTTTATCATAGAAACAGATGTTGAGCCAAGGCCCTTGTATCTAGATGCTCAAGCAACCAACCCCATGGTGAGATACTATCTACTCATAGCCACATTCAATAATAAATTATTATTATTATATAATAATTATAATCATGCAGGACCCTCGCGTGTTAGATGCCATGTTACCATATTTGGTATCATATTACGGTAACCCTCACTCACGTACTCATGCCTACGGTTGGGAGAGTGAAGAAGCTGTCGAGAAAGCTAGAAAAGTATGTTATTCTCTTATTACATAACATTGCATCATTTTACGTCATTGATTACATAACTTTGCGTTATTAATGTAATTTTTTATCATTTCAAGTGTAGTAATTATTATGAGTGTGTTTTTCTTTGTGTAGCAAGTTGCTGATTTGATTGGTTCTGATCCTCGGGAGGTTGTTTTTACAAGTGGAGCAACTGAGTCTAATAATATGGCCATTAAAGTTAGGAGCCAAAACCTATCATAATAATAATAATAATAATAATAATAATAATAATAATAATAATAATATTTTTGTGATGTTTTATTTCTTCATTTTTTGTATTGTCTCTTTACTCCTAAGGGTGTGGCTAATTTCTATCGTTCTAAGAAGAATCACATCATTACAACACAGACGGTATGTATACATGTACATGTATCCTTTTCATAATTCCCCTCTCCCCCCTCTCTCTCCCTCTCAGGAGCACAAGTGTGTTCTTGATTCTTGTCGGTTTCTTGAAAACGAAGGTTTTGAGGTCACCTATCTCCCCGTCAAATCAAACGGAATCATTGATCTACAAGTTAGCATCATCATTAATGATCATGTGACTATCACGTGATCATCATCATTATTATATTAATAGGAGTTTAAAGACGCCATTAGGCCCAGTACATCCCTGGCATCAATAATGACAGTGAATAATGAGATTGGAGTGAAGCAACCAATTGCCGAGATAGGTTTGATACAAAATTTTTTAATATATATTTAATCTTAAAATTATTATTAATTATATCATTATTATTGTAGGTGAAATATGTCGAGAAAACAAAGTATTCTTTCACACTGATGCCGCTCAGGTATGACTTACATACTAGAATTGTATCTTTAATTTCAACCAATGAAACCACCACCTTTATACATGTACTATAGGCGATTGGTAAAATACCCGTTAATGTGAACAACATGAAGATTGATCTCATGTCTATCAGCGGACACAAGGTGTATGGTCCTAAAGGTAACCATGCCCAGTAGTTATTAATAATTATTAAGTTAAAGGCGTTGGAGCTTTGTACATCAGGCGAAGGCCAAGAGTTAGGATTGAACCAATGATTAGTGGGGGCGGTCAAGAAAGGTAGAATTATTTAATCAGTTTTAATTATTGTGAGCGTGGTTTATTTACAGAGGAATGAGGAGTGGAACTGTGCCACACACACTGGTTGTTGGACTAGGATCAGCCTGTGAAGTGGCACAGCAAGAAATGGAAGTTAGCATTTTTTTTAGTTTTAGAATTTTTCTAATTTGTACTCATCCTTGCTTTATAGTATGACAGGGAGAGAATAAGTCGATTATCAGAGAGACTGATCCATGGGATCACCTCACAGCTTGATCATGTGATCAGGAATGGAGACCCTGTTGAGACCTATGACGGTGAGCAGGACTACAACATGTACATGTACAATATGTGACTGATACTCACTTACTGTGTATTGCAGGCTGTGTCAACCTGTCTTTTGCTTACGTTGAGGGGGAGAGTTTGTTGATGGCCATGAAACAAGTGGCATTGTCATCTGGAAGGTGAAGATTGTCTTATAATTGTTTTCATGTACATGTACATGTACCTGATTCTACTCTTTGGTTTTTTGTAGTGCATGTACATCTGCTTCATTAGAGCCGTCTTATGTGCTACGGGCTGTTGGGGCTGATGAAGATCTGGCCCATTCTTCTATCAGGTAGGGAGGAGAGAGAGGGAGAGAAAGGGAGGAAGTGAGTTTTGAGTAATTTTAAAATTTGTAAAAAAAATCCAATTCATTTTATGCTTTTTTATTAGATTTGGCATTGGACGGTTTACTACTGAGGAAGAAATTGATTTCACAATTTCCAAGTGTGTAAGTGAAGTTACTAAACTCCGCCAGATGAGGTAAAAATAACAGATTCACATTAATTCAGTTATTATTTTTTTTGTTAATTTTCGTAGTCCTTTATGGGAGATGGTCCAAGAGGGGATTGACCTCAAGTCGATACAATGGACCCAGCATTAGGGAGACTCCACCCATCACCACGCCCACTTGCAAATAACTGTTCATCTTGGTGTCTATTGTCTTGTAAAAATATTTTTGTCTTTTTTGTCAATGATTCTTCTTTAGATTATGTATCGGAAGAAATCTCTCTTCTATTTACTCTCTTCTCCCTTTCCCTCCCTCCCTCACGCTTTGTGTGTACTATACTGTTCACGTATTTGGTTGATTACTACTATAGTAATATGGACTTGGATGACATCTGTTTACATCTTGTGCGACGAATGTACCACAACATTTGTGTTATAATACAGGGAAACTATGCACCTATTGTAGAGTATATAGGCTTGGCAGTGCTTATGTAATGCAATAAAGGCCCGATAGAGTCTTGTTTGTCTTGGACAAGTATTTGTGGGTCCTCTGTTTTCTTGCCTCATTGAGTTTGTGTGGTTTCTTTCAAATTCTTGAGATGTTTAAGTCAATTCATTATGCTCGGGACAGTGGGGGTACCATCAGTAGTGTTAGCAGCGTCATGGCGGCCAGGAGACTGAGACAGAAGAAAGTGGACAAAGACAAGCTCTGCTCTTATAGTAACTTCAACCCCCTTGCTGTAAGTTGACTGCTAGATCCTGGAGAGTATAAGATAAGCTGGGTTTGTTTGTTTGTGGTTTAGTCTTAGATAAACCTGAATGAATTGATGACAATTTTGTGTCTTTTTCACTTTACCATTTGTAGCTAAACAGATCAAAAAAGTCCATTTTGTGTGTGACACTTTAAAAAACTTTTTTTTAAATATCAGTGTGCTTTTGCTGCCACACTTTCAATTATCACTTTGTCATTTTCTCCTCTCAACACTCCATCACTTCCTTTTCTTCATCTCTCCAGTTGCTCAGTTTTGTTCTGTTGTTCATATCGATTGTATTGGTCTCAGTCTCTCTTGGATTGGATCGTTGGTCGTCTCTGAGCATTATGAGAGGCAGTGGGCAGTCTAGACTTGATTCGGCCACATACAAGACACAAGGATTCTCAAGAAGATGCATACATTATGTGCTCAGTGATGAAGTATGGCATCATTATTAAACATGTTTCCTGGTTCATGTACAATTAATATACTACACACACTATCGATTTCCCTTCACTGCCCCCCCCCCCCCCCCCCCCCCCCCCATGCTAAATATTAGTACATTTTTCTAGTATGAGGCCATTATCATGCATAGTAATACAAGTATTATTTTGTTAATTTACAGGTATTGGCGCTTAATCTTCCATCTGAGGATCTTCCCAGGAATAACTGTGTCTCTGTTGGCTCCATAAGCTGCAGTGAAGAGCAGAACTATCTTGAGAGCAGCCATGACTCACCTAGCGTTGATGAGCTACAAAATACTGATAATACTAACGACTGCAAAGAAGGCAAGGGATTTACAATTGAATCACTTCATTTCCATTCTTCTCTTGATATCTAGTTCGCATTCGACTGATTGGCTCCTTCTCCCTGGTTATAATAGGAATATTTGCTTCCTTAGTATCTATGATCTTAATGTTCCCTACATGGAACAGAAAGCTGTTTTTAGGAGGAGCTGCTGTTAGTCTGTTGGCATGTGAGTATAATCTAGTTGATAGTAGTTGGTTGATAGTAGTGAGCCTTGTGTCCACATTTGAGTTACATGTACATCAAACACAAATAAACATTCTCATTTATTGAATATTATTATAAATATGATATTTATTATTTGTATTTATTTTCTTAGTCCTTAAAACAACTGCCTTGGTTTCGTTTTGTTGTTTGTGTTTCAGTATTTTCATTTATAGAGACTAATATAATCTTTCAATTCTAATCTTTCCTTTCCCCCAATAGCTATCTTATTCGGTTCAGCAATGGGTCTCTTTCTAAGCACAGACAGTGATTATGCTGGTTTCTTTTCTCTTAACGGTCAACCCAGCTCTGGTTGTCTTGGCCTTAGCTTTGGTCTTTTTGTTGGCTCCTTTGCTATCACACTAATGTCTTCTCTTGTGGGAGTCCTTGCCTTTTGTTATCGACACATTGAGAAGTGTCGGAATAAGAAAGAGTGATTTATTAACTATCAATCAGTAAAATATTTTAATTAAAATTGTGATTTTGTATTGTCGTTGTATACTTCTTGTTGAATGATAAACTTTTTTGTGGTTTGTAGATGATTTATAATTCAGTTTCCATTTGTAATTATGTAACATTCAAGTGACACTTTCTGTTGCAATAGTGACTCATGCAGTTACTGAAATAACAACAGCAATACACTAGCTTATAGATGTGTATGATACAATAGTAAGGATTGTGTTTAGTCTCAAGGGGAAACTTATTATAAAGTGTGATTGTCACTTCAAAGACAACCCGCTTTTGAGGATACTTCAGTTTCAGTATATATAGCATTGTCAACATCCTAATACAGCACAGTCTTCTGGAGTAACAATGGAGCTCTCCTTTCTCTTGATTTTACTAACATTTCTTCCTGTCTCTCAGCTTGCAAGAAGCCCCATTGTCATTGGTATGTGCATTAGAATGGTCACACTGAAATGTTTAATTTTTTTAGTTCCTGGCCTGCTTGGTAGCAAATTTGAAGCAAAGCTCAACAAACCTGATAGTAAAGCACCCTGTATGAAGACCAGTGATTGGTATACACTCTGGGTTAACATAACAACGATTTTTCCAGATCATGATAAATGCCTGGTAGACAATCTCAAGTATGTATATATGCTTTTAAATTGCTAGTATACTCTTGATATTGTATCTATACAGGTTAATGTATGATGAAGACAATTGGTATTATAATACTGAAGGAATCGAGATAAGAGTGCCTGGCTTTGGTGAAACTGATACTATTGAAGAACTTGGAGTTGATGTACCCTATTTTCATAATTTTGTGGAGCACTTTGTTAAACTGGGCTACACTAGAGGCAAAGATATAAATGGAGCTCCTTTTGATTGGCGTCTAGCACCAGGTACATCAAATAATGTATCTTTAAAATGTTTTAATACTTTGTTGTAGATGGGCTGAAAAGAATCAGATATTACGAAGCTTTGCATCAGCTAATAGAGGACTCTTACAATAGGAATGGACAGACTCCTGTCACTCTTGTTGCTCACAGTTTAGGCGGACCTGTTTCTCTTTACTTTCTAAGCAAGTACGTGTCCTCAGACTGGAAAGCGTCCCGAATAAAACAATTTGTTTCGCTCTCGGGAGTTTTTGGAGGCACTTTAAAAATAATTTTAGAATTAATTTCAGGAGACGAGCAGAACATCATTCGTGCAAGGCCATTGGTGCTAAGAGAGGCTTTGAGAAGCTTTCCAAGTTCAGTATTTCTATTGCCCTCACCAGCGTTATGGGGAGAAGATGAAGCAATAGTAGTGCAGCCTAAAAGAAACTACACGTCACGCGATTATGAGGAATTGTTCACTGATATCAGTTATACCAATGGATCACGTATATACAATGAAGTGAAGGACCTCATTTCTGATTTCCCTCCTCCTAACGTGACCCATTATTGCTACTATGGTAGCGATGTCCATACTCATGCCAACCTTTATTACAACAGCTCTTTTCCTGATTCTCAGCCAGTTCATATTATGCCTGATAATGGAGATGGGACGGTGAATGAGCGCTCGCTTCAGTCTTGTCGCTTGTGGAGAGATAAACAGGTTTTTCCGGTAATAGAGAAATCATTTGTTGGAGTTTCACATCGGAATATGGTTTTGAATAAAGAAGTGCTTGCTGCTATTGAGAAGTTGGTTTTGTCTTAATTGAGATTGCTAAAAAACTTACAACTTAATTAATAACTGTAATTAGATATGTACCTATATAGTCTATAGAGTGTGCCATTTACTTCTTTGAGTGCTTTTTTGATAATACATCTTTTAAATTGAAAAATTGTGGTATTCACAGTATTGATAAAGTATAGACATTACGTACACATTCAGTAATAACATGAAGATGAAGGTGAAGTCATCTTTCTTTTTCCTCTTGTCTGTGTTTCTCTCTGTACAGGCATTAAAGAGCCCAATTGTAATAGGTATGTCCATTCATAGTATGACTGACTAGGAATATGTGGCCCTACTCTCATGATTTTAGTTCCTGGCCTTCTTGGGAGTCAATTGGAGGCTAAGCTAGACAAGGATTCCTCTCCAAATTTCTTGTGCAGCAAAAAGAGTGACTGGTTCATTCTTTGGGTTGAACTTGAGTCAGCCATCCCTGGGGTTGATGAATGCTTTGTGGACAATGTCAAGTAATCCTTCTACTGTACCAATGTGTGCATGTACTATCAACCATTCTAGGCTAAGGTATGATGAGAATACAAAAGAGTATTACAATGCTTCTGGTGTTGAAGTGAGGGTTCCTGGTTTTGGAGGTACTGATACTATTGAGTATCTCGATAAGTCCTATGCTGCTTCGTATTTCAATACTTTTGTGAAATATTTTGAAAGAATGGGATACAAGAAGGGACGGGATTTAAACGGTGCCCCTTATGATTGGCGCTTTGCACCAGGTATGGTAAAATTTAGTTATTATCATCCTTTTTGCTGACATGCCATGCATCCATTTTGATGTTTTGACATCACATGATCATCATGTTGATATTGAAGGCATTTTCTCACTCCATATATAGATGGACTATCAAAGCTTGGCTACTATGATGCCCTGCATCAGCTAATAGAAGATTCCTATAACAGGAATGGACACACTCCAGTCACTCTCATCGGTCACAGTCTAGGAGGACCAACTTCACTTTACTTCTTAATCAATTATGCTTCTCCTGATTGGAAAGCTTCTCGCATTAAGCAGTTCATTTCTCTCTCTGGAGCCTTTGGAGGAAGTGTTAAGATATTTCTTGGTTTGATTTCAGGTGAAAAACGATTCACTTCAACTGGAAGATCTTTAGTTACACGCTATGCAACTCGGACCTTCCCAAGTTATCCTTTTCTGCTACCCTCGTATCAGCTGTGGAAATCAGATGAGGTCTTAGTGACACAGCCTAAGAGAAACTACACTGTGCACGATTATGAAGATCTCTTTACTGATATCAAGGATCCTAATGGAACTCGCATGTATAACGAAGTCAGAAACCTCGTCTCTAGTTTTCCTCCTCCTAATGTCACTCATTATTGTTTTTACGGGACTGACGTTCAAACTGTTGCTCAGATAATCTATGACTCATTCCCAGACCAACTGCCCTCAAAAATTTCACACGGGAACGGGGATGGGACGGTGAATACTCGTTCTCTTGAGTCCTGTGGTCTGTGGAAGGACAAGCAAGTCTTTCCTGTTGTGATGAAGTCGTTTTCCAATGTGACTCACGGGGAGATGGTCACTGATAAAAATGTGCTTGCAGAGATTGAAAAATTGCTATAATTATCATAATTTTATGAATATAATTTAGCTGTTGTGTGCTTGCTTATTGAATTACATTCATAATACTTGAGATTCAGTCACATGCATAGGCCATTTATAGATTCATTCAATTAGCAGTGATTGTTACATAAGAGAATGTAACAATTGAGCCCTTACTGCTTCCCTTAACATACACATGACTATTCAGTAGAATGATGTATGTAACTCTTGCCTTGGTTCTTTTTGCTCACTTTTTCTCTGTTCAATCAACCACAAGGAGCCCTATTGTCATAGGTAAGTATTGTATACTACTCAAGAGAGATTGCTCCATTCGTTTTGTGTAGTTCCTGGTTTACTTGGTAATCAGTTGGAGGCTAAATTAGACAAAGACTCATCTCCAAGCATATTGTGTAAAAAGAAGAGTGACTGGTTCACTCTATGGGTCAATCTTGATCTCGCTGCACCAGGTGTCGACGAATGCTTTGTGGACAACGTCAAGTAATAGCTTAGCAAACCTTGATATATTGATTCTCCTTTATTTTTTAGGCTAAGATATGATGAGAATACAAAAGAGTATTACAATAACTCAGGAGTTGAAGTGAGGGTTCCTGGCTTCGGTACTACCGACAGTATTGAGTATCTCGATAATTCTGCCATTTACAAGTACCCATACTTTAACAAGTTTGTCAAGTACTTTGAAGGATTGGGTTACACTAAAGGAAAGGATCTCGTTGGAGCACCTTTTGATTGGCGATTTGCACCTGGTAAGAAAATAGAATTTATAAAAGGAAAGATACATTATGACTAAGTCTCATTATGTTCATATTTCTCCCCATTTAGATCAGCTATCAAAATTAGGTTACTATGATGCACTATTTGTGCTAATAGAGGATACTTATCGTAATAATGGAGAGACCCCCGTCACTCTTATTGCCCACAGCCTGGGAGGACCTATTTCTTTGTACTTCTTGAGTAAAATTGCTCCTTCAGACTGGAAGGATTCTACTATTAAGCAATACATAAGTCTCTCGGGTGCTTTTGGAGGATCTCTCCATGTTCTCCTTGGAATAATATCGGGAGATGTTGAGGGTGTGTTTACTGCAAGGCCTTTGGTACTTCGTGAGTGTCAGAGAAGCAACCCAAGTCAAGTTCTCCTATTACCCTCGACACAACTTTGGAAAGATGATGAGGTACTGGTAGTGCAGCCTAAGAGAAACTACACTGCATTCAATTACGAGGAATTGTTCACTGACATCAGTTATACCAATGGATCACGTATATACAATGAAGTTAAGAGCCTCATTTCTGATTTCCCCCCTCCTAACGTGACCCATTATTGCTACTATGGGACTGATGTTAAAACCATTGATACATATATTTATGGAGACTCATTCCCTAATGGACCTCCTTCTGGTTTTGTTTATGGAAACGGTGACGGAACTGTTAATGCTCGTTCGCTCCAAACGTGCAATTTGTGGAAAGACAAACAGGTTTATCCAGTTACGATGAAGTCCTATTCTAAAGTATCACATTTTGATATGGTATCAGATGAAAATGTCCTCCAAGATTTGGGAAAGTTATTAAGTACATGAAAATGTTCAGCTGCTGTTTTGTTAGCATAAAGAGCCAAAATTATTCATGATTTATTATTAACCAATAATAAACTAAAATTTAATTATTCTGTGGAGTGTTGCTAAATGATGGCGGTTCTTTGTCTTGCTCTTATTCCGTTTGTATTCCTCCTACTGGTGACTCTCTTGCCTCATGCTAATGCTGTAACAAGAAAGCCAATAGTGATTGGTAAGCTAAGCAGCTGTTTAGATCAGACTTTGATGGCGCGTGCCACAGTAGCTTGTTGTTTACACAGTGCGATAATGACACCAATTGTTGCACAATGTTAGTACTCAGAAATGAAGTAGAATACCCATAGACTGCCTTGATAAAAATGGACTATACAGGCATAGGCACACTACGTGACAAGTGTAGTACTATTAGTCTGTGAAATACGAAATAAAATATTATGGGTGTGTTTCTGCATTTTATACTATTTTTTATATTATTTTTAAAAACTTTTCTTGTAGTACCTGGTGTCATGGGTAGCCAGCTAGAGGCACGACTGCACAAGACAAGTTCCTCTCATATGTATTGCTACAAGAATTACGATAAATGGTACAGACTTTGGCTGGATATGGACGACATTTTACCAATAACTCAAAACTGCTTCAAAGAGAATATAAAGTGAGAGAGAGAGTGGGAATATTGAGTACATATGGAACGATACCAGTATCATTAGTCAGCCATTGTTGGGTGATATGTTCTTAATGTATTGAAACATGATAATAAATAACAATGATCATTGCAATGTTATTGTATATTATTATAATATTAAAAATGTATTGGCTAATTTACACTAAATGTGTATTAATTAATGTCGAATATCTCATTAGTTAACATGTACATGTACATAACAATGCGAATAATGTTTCCTTCCTTTCATTGTAATACAATAGCTGTCCCTCTGCTATTAAGTCAGGGGGTGTTTCCTTTATGTATCAGTAGTTTCATTGTGGTTTGGCCTGAGCTGAGTGTATTCATGACTGTGGGTTTCTGAATTCATAAGCTGAAAGCACTGTTACAATCTATGAATGCATCTACATGTACATGCATGACTTTGGAGTAACTTTAAAAATTTCTAAAAAATCCAAACTTGATCGGAATGAGCTCAAACTTGCTACATAACATAAGAACATGTTTATGCATCAAATGAAGTTATAAAAATGGGGGATTCTCTCCGAATCATTTTTGGTGAAATTTGGCCAAAATCCCTGTACTATAGTACGGGACCTTGGCCCGATTTTGGAGTAACTTTAAAAATTCATAAGAAATCCAAATTTGATCGGAATGAGCTCAAACTTGCTACACAGCATAAGAACATGTATATGTATAAGAAAAATTATAAAAATGGAGAATCCTCTGCTTGTCATTTTCGGCAAAATTTTGGCCATAGACCCTGTACTATAGTACAAGGACTTTGACCCAATTTTTGAGCAACTTTATAATCTATTGGCAAGTACCTGCAGAAATGGGGGCTATGATTGTTATACATAGACTGCACAGTATAGCTATCATTGTTATTGTTATCTACCACAAAACACAATCAGAGCTCATATGACTGACCAGAGGGTGTTTTGCGATAGTCTTTGGCCTCCCAGAATTCATAAAAAGTCAAGAATTTGTTATGACTCAAGCTTTCTGATAAAGTATCGCCTGTTAGTAGAACCGTGTTATATCTGTAACTTTTTTATCTTATCATTTCCGTAACATTTTTATAATTATGCTAATATTTATAATAAAAAATAAACAAATGTATTTTTATTTGTTTTTCCCAATAGACTCCATTACAGCACAAGCACGGGGAGATATTCTGATACTGAAGGTGTTGATATCCGAGTAACTGATTTTGGTAACACAACTGGCATAGAGACACTGGATCCTAACATTGCTAGTGCAAGCTATTTTGATGTACTAGTTGAATATTTTGTTAAACTTGGCTACACTCGTGGCCTCGATATCAGAGCAGCTCCTTTTGACTGGCGATTAGGACCAGGTATAAACAAAAATTATTATTAATAGCTATAAAATTTATAACTTCATTATTATTACTATTATTATTATTATTACGTTGTTGTTAGAATTTTTGTGGGCAGTGGTTGTGGACATTATTTGCCATTTGGCTGTTTGTACAGTCTATTTACTAGATTTAGCTTCCAACACTTTATTTTGCCAAGTCACGTATTCGTCAGCCTTGCTGTTACTATATTACTGTTACAATTCAATTAAATGTACTGTTATAATTATATTTATTGTGCTACTGATTACATTGTAATTTCATAATAAATGTAATATTTCTCTAATTTTATTTCTCGCTTCCTCTTTCTCATTAGCTGAGCTATTGGAGCGTCACTATTTCGATGCCCTTCGTTCATTAATTGAGTCGACCTTTGCCTCTCAAGGCAATAGAAAAGTCACGCTCCTCGTACACAGCATGGGCGCTCTAGTCTCCCACTACTTTCTGACAACGTTTGTCACAGAAAACTGGAAGGACAAGTACCTGGATCAGTACGTGACGCTTGGCGGAGTTTGGGCTGGCTGCTCTAAAGCTCTCAATGCCCTCATCTCAGGAGACACTGATCAAATATTCAAATTATCAAGTAGACTTTATGTAAGACCGTTAGAGAGGAGCTTCCCTAGCGATTACTGGTTGCTACCCATCCCCTCCAACGATACATGGAACACGTCAGTTGTTCTAGTAACGACACCAACCTCATCCTACAGTGCATACGATATTCACAAGTTAATTGACAAGCTTAACTATCCAAATGGGCCCGTCATGTATAGAGGCGTGGTCAAATCAACGCCACGCCCATTTTTACCACCCAATGTGACAACTCATTGCATTTATGGGTACGACCTACAAACTGCCGAGAGTTTTCATTTTGGTGATATCAATAGTTTTCCGAATGGGAAGCCAGACATTGGGTATAGTAAAGGAGATGGTACTGTTAGTTTACGAAGTTTGAGAGTCTGTCAGAAGTGGGAGGGGCAACAGGTGTGGCCTGTGAAAAGCTACGAGATGAAAGGAGCAGATCATTTTGGGATGCTGGACGACCGTGATGTCCTGAAAATTATAGAAAATTTGGTAGTCAGCTCTAACTGATGACAACTGCTGTATAGAATTATTTAGTTTAGAATTATTTATATTTTTTACATTCCCCCCCCCCCCTTGTGTTCATATTTCAAATAATATACCATCTAAAAGCATATTTATTTTTAATACTGTGATCATGCTACCAGTAGGTACGTGATCAGTCTACAAATTCACACACTAATTCTGGAGCTCTAAAACAATATATATCCTAACTATCAAAGTTAATTCTTGTCTATGTATAATATCAGAGTATCATGTACTCTTGATTACTTTAATTTAATTGACTTTATTTAGCTTTGTCACAGTCATCTTCTCCTGCCAAACAGGAATCAACCGGAGCTTTCTTCTCTTTATTGAAGATCAATTGTTCATCATCATCATCATCATCATCATCGCAGCCACAGACACATCCACTGTACATTAGCTTTTGCTGCATTTCTGCTCTTACTGTGTCGTCGTTTATTGGAGTATGCACTCCTCTTTGCAGTGCCCAGTATAAATCAACAATAATTGGATCACTGGTTGCTTCTTTGATGGAATAGACTTGCTTATTAGCTTGAAGAAGATACCTTGTAGCCTGGGGAGACAGGTCTTCACCAAACAAGATGGACTCACGTAGACTTTGACTAGTAAAGAAAGTGATGAAGTCAATCATTGCAGCTTTCTTTTCGTTATCAGCAGAATTCCAACTTGATGCACTTACCACGAGAGCATCAGTGTATTGGAGCAAGTAGCCAGAATCACCCAGTGGGGCAGAAATGGCAGCATATGCCACAATGCCTGGATTGTCCTTTTTTATTTGGGCAAGCTTTTCCGAGAATCCAAAGTAAAGCATCGTTTTCTTGTTTGTAATGTCCGTGTAAATATTGTCACTTTCTTCGACGTAGCTATCAGCATACTTATAGAAGCACTTATTGTTTGGAGGAGATCCAGTCTCATCACTGCAGCCACCAACATAATTAGTCATTCTACTGCAGAGACTCATGTCAATATCACCAGCAAGTACATTATCGACTGCCTCCTGAGCTTTCTGACTGCCATACATGTCAATGTATCCATCAACATACATATCTGGCAAGTAATAGCCATAGATATCATTCATCTTGCCACCAAGGAGCCTTTCATATGTAGGATATGATGAGAGGAGTCCCTCACACTGTGTTAGTATGCTGCTGAAGTTGTCATAATTGTATCTTCCTGATTCTAGATCACAGTTTCCACTGGTAGCAGGAGAGAGACCAATAAGAAAGTTCCCACAGAGCAGAGTTGGATAAGCATAATATGTATCTTCATATTGTACAGCATCCAGAGCTTCAGGAAAGATATCATTCCAGGTAGGGACATAGACCAGATCGTCTACTGGGACTATTAATCCTTTTTCAACAAGGCCAGGTAGACTAATGGTATCTATCTCCAGCATATCAAAGCCATCATAATGGAGATATTCCTCAAGATTGCCATAAGGATCATACAAAGAGCTATTGACAACTGCATCGACTGTATTGGAAGGATATGCAGCTGTATATCCGTCTTGAATCAGGTTTTCGTAAGAAGCAAGATCATCATCCCCAATATCTGGTATTGAGTTGTAAATTCCAACCTTCAGGTCTACAGCAATTGCTGCTCCAGCTAAACATGCGAAAATTAGAGCAAAATACTTCACTGAACCAAATTCTACCATTTTACAAAGAAAGTAAATCCAAATTTGGCTATACTGTTGCTTTATATTGATGACAAGGAACAATTATGTATTCTACACCCCCGCATTAATAATTAGAGTGGGCGGTATCATGAACACGTGCGTTCACGTGGATAACTTTTAAAGGCGTGGTCTAACAGTTAATATGGCGGCGGCAGAGGCAGATTTTCTTGTCTTTTACGACACGTTTATTCACGATGCCTCTGAGGTAAGAAGAAAAGGATAAGACTAAGCTATTTTTATATTATTACAGGATCAGCTACGAGTTGACATGATCAGGTTCAGCCTCCCTGTCAAGCTCTCTGAGATAAGAATCGTACCCAAAAATTGTCCCGCCCACGCAAGCCTATCTGCCATTGATAAATTAGGGTAAGACACTCTAATATGGAGACTTGTACTAGAGGGTTGGGTTCGGTTATTATTTAAAGGAAATTCGAATGTACCAAAGGAATAATTACTTTAATGAATGGTAATGTACATATTCAATGTGTTTTTAGTAAAACCACACCCACCACTTTCAAGCTCGATGTTTTGGCAAATGATTCGACTAATCCTCTAGCTCCAACTTTTAGCAACTTGGGAACGTGAGAATAACTATTAATAGCTATTAATAACTACTAATAACTAGGATAGATTTCAAGGATGACTGCCTCTCCCTCCCACTCACAAACAAGGTATTGCACAAACCTGTTTTACTAGTTTTACTGGTCTCAGATATCATGTGACATTGTCATCGTCAGAGGATATTATTCAGCATTATCTCTGTGTCTTTATGGATTACCAGCAGCACCACGAGCTTTCCCTTCATTTAAACAAAGGCAAAGGTAACACACACACACACACACATATATATATATATACTTTACTAGTAATTATATTATTTTATTATTGTTTCTACTTTCTAGCCGTTCTCCTAGTCCGTTTGCTGAGCGAGCAAATGAAGAAGGTTTCCATCGCAAGAGACCTAATTCGCCCGAGGGGGGAGGAGCTTTAGATAGAGGCCCCTCCCCTCGTCCCAAGGAGGCAAAAGAAGTATCGACTCTCTTGGATTTCTTTGAGCCATTTTCTCCAGACCACTCACCCGAGCATTCCTTTGATCTTTACGATGACGAAATGCCACCTGCTAAAAGAGTGAGTGGGTATGGCATTAGTACTTACATTTCTTTCTTGTTCATCTTCTCTCTCAGGCTGCTCAAACTGATGCTGCTGGCTACGAAGAGTTCTCAGACGAAGAGATTGCCTTTGCTGAAGATGAATTTGAAATACAAGAAGCTGTTGTGAGTTATAGAGAATCCTCTGACCTAGTCTACTTGAAATATTCTTCTTTACTATTTTAAGGAGTTTGATAATTACAACGAGACTGAGGATAGTTGGATTAGTTCTAACATTAGCTTCAATCCTTACCAAACTGAAATTAATAATCTTGAAGTAAGCCTCACTTGTCTCTCTATTATACTACATGTACAGTATAGTGAATAATTAAATAGTAATAATATAGTATAAATGTATAATGTAGTATTTGTATAGGTAGCTATTGTTTCTTTTATTTTGTTTTAATTATTTTAGAGTTTTCCTTCTCTTTATGACACTCCTCACGAAGCTCTGTTGAAGAGGAGGCTGGCCAAGATGGATCCAGGTATTCAAAACCGGTTTAACTTGTTTTGTAATGTCCTCATGTTAGGTACACTGAAGAGATCGTACAGTGACGAAGTAAGTTATCAATTTATGTAAATGTACATGTACTCTGTCCACCTTTTTTTATCAGGTAACACGCATTAGGGATCAAATTTTGAAACTTAAAGATGCAAAAATTAACATTAAGTCAGTTCATTTTTTAGTGATATTATTGCGAATTTTGTTTGTGGGTTGGCAGGTGGGTGGAGACTATTGACGAATTTATGCATCAGCTGTATCCTGGACTAGTGAGTAATTAATTTTTTATTTTCTCACGTCCTAATTTTTGTAGGCTCAGATTATACTAAGGTCAGAAGCTGAGGGTCAAGAATCAGTTAATTGTATCTGTGGTCTTGTATTAATGTGTCTTAATAACGACGTCATACTGTCACACCCACCACCTGTGAGTCACATGATCATCACATGATTAAATGTACATCTATGCATGTAGCTAAACGTCCGTTTATTGAAGACTGGTCTTAAGCTTGGCGAGGCAGTAGCAGGTTTAGGAGAAGAATTCATTAAAAAATTACTAGTAAGTATCTTGTACCTTCAGAGTAGCGTACATGTACATGTACACAATAATCATGTTCATCATATGCTTCATCATAAATGCATATCAATAATTATTAATATGCGTACATCTATGTATATGTACATGTACACCATGTTCTCTTTGCTGCTGTATTTCAAGTCTGGCTTCTTCCCTAACAGGGAGATGGCCTAATGGAGAGACTAGTTGATATTGTCACTCAGCCTCCTTCTCTCATGCCTACTTCGATCAAAATGACATGTCTCCAGTTCATTAATGTCTTTCTTGATTATACTTATGGCATGGAGTGGTTTCTCGGCTGGACCGAGGAACAGGTTCTAAATGAAGAGTATATGACTGGAGAAACCGTACAGTCATCTTATCGGAAACTGCTGGAAGTGGTTTTATCAAACCAAGTAAGTACATGTATATACTATACATGTGTAATGAACATGTACCTAATATTTTTCTTTTTTTTTTCTAAGACTGTTAGGGTCCAGTCTGCTTGTAGCCGCCTCATACGTAAAGCTCACCTTTACGAGCTACTGACCTCTTTTAAAACTGCCGTCGATAATGCTATACAAGCCACACCTACTACTGACACGCCTGCCAGTATCACGGAGGATTTTTGGAACTCAAAAGAAAAACCCTCAGACATGGAAGAGCTAGAGGAGGAGGAGGAGGAGGAGGAAAAGAGAAGTGACGCTGGACAAGAGAAGGAAGGAGGTGATCAAGGAAGGAAGGACGACGAAGAAAATAAAATGGAGACTCAAGAGGATCAGCAGAAAACTGTTGTTCAATTGCCTCAAGAATCAATCAAGAATATAACTCATTTACTTGACGAGTTGTATCAGATGTTGAAGGGGGTGGAGTCAAGCCTCATGCTCCTCCCACCCAAAGCATTCCCCATTAAGAACATGGGAATGGAGCAGCAGGGAACACAAGAAGCATTTACTGGCGTCGCTAGAATGTTGAAACACAAGTAAGACAATATAATATTATATTAAAAGTGTAATAAAAATTGAGGGTGATTTCAGATTGGAAAAAAGCATGGGCTATAGTACAGTGGGTTTTTCAAAAATTGGCCTATTTTTTAAAATGGCCGTAACTCGAAAAATTTAAGTCAGAATTGGCTCAAACTTTCCACACAGCATAAGGACATCAATATGTATCAGAAAATGTAATAAAAATTGGGGGTGAT